CGATCCTATGAATAAAGATACCAGAATGTTTCACTGAGAAACCTAGAAGCGTGTTTAAATAAAAGGTGTGCATTTTAATAACATTCTAGACCAGAAGTAAAATAAAATATGCTATTTGAAATAAAGCTGAATTGTAGAGTGTGAAAAAATGTGAGATTTGCCAGACATTGCAGAATTGGGCATTGAAGAAGAAGGCTATTGATCACTTCAGGTAAAGTATTAGCAAAGCAGAAGCCAGGAGATCAGATGAAACTTTTTTCTGTCCTGAAGTACAGAATCCTCTACAGCTATGGGAATAAGAAGTGCCAGCCACTCGTTTAACACATGAACACCTTTAAAAGTATTAGTAATTATCAGGGAGGGAGTAGGACAAACACGGCATATTCCAGTGCTAATGAGTTCTTTTTATAGCCTAATCACGAGGCATTCAAGAGGTTTTTCCTGGGAAGATTGAAATGTAAATATTAATTTTGGATGTGTATTAGCTATTTGCATAGGCAAGACTTTCACTAGAAACCTACAAGATTTCATGTTCTAGCTTAAAACATTTTAAATTGAAACAGTACAAATGTGTCATAAATTGATGTTAAAATAAATCCCAACCAGTTGTGATGCATATGTAACAAGTCTTTGTTGCTATTCTTTTTTACCATCCTAATCCTCTTTTATTCCCTTTACTTAAGATATTCTTCCCTACTGTATTCAGGAAAATTAAATTTTCAACATACTTGGAAGTCAAAGGTTCAGTCCTAGTATTCATTAAGCTGTAAGTAGTCAAAGAAGCTTATCAACTCTATCATTAAAATGAAAAAAAAAAAAATTGCTTTTACTCGTGAAAAACCCTGCCACTTCACACCTGCAATTGAGTGCAAGCAAAGCATGCAGTCCAGTAGAGCATCTAAGGTATGTTTTGGTCATTTGTATTGTCTCACAATCTTGGCCTGAAAAAGCAAAAAAAAAAAAAAATCACACACACACAAAAAACCTGAAAGTGACCCCAGAGATTTGTATTTTGAAAGCTGCTTCCCTTGCCAAATGAACAAAAATTTCCTTGCCAAATGAACAAAAATTGCAAACAAACATTCACACTTTTTTTTTTCTCTTCCTGGCACAGCTCATTCTAATTTGCTCACCAGGCTGCTGAACTGTTTCTTAACATGCAAGAGATAATTCGGTCATCTCTACAGAAACAAGTACAAGTTGTTTAATCAGATGGTCAAGTCTCAAAGCGAATGAGATCAACCAAAGATACCACAGATCCGCCAAAATCCCAGTAATTAAAACACTGCTGAGACTGGAGAATATTTTGGACATACCTGCCACCTGGCGTTTGGAAGGCAACCTTATGTCTGAAAACCACGGGAATGCTCTTAAAAATCTGTATTCCCACTAACAAGCAAGCAAATATTGATGTATTTAATATGGGTTAAACACACAAGCAGCAAAACTGTCTTCGGGCAGTGGTTATTACCAGCATCTTTATTAAGCAGAGCTCTTGTTTTGCTTTGAAGAGCAACAGTGGCTGCGTTAACGTTTTTACTTGGACAACCGCTTAGAGGCAGATCAAGAGAACAGCCGCTCGCCAATACAGCACTTCAAGGAGTAACTCATGTAAGGTGCGTGCTTCACCTTGATTTAGGGGTCAAAAATCAGAGTGGATGACCCTTTCTGACACCTGTGCATTTTTGAAGGACGTTGCATATCTGACATTTTTTTTAGAAAGCAAAGTAACAGGGTGAGTTAATGTTCCTTCCAGTCCCAACCCTACTACTACCCATAAAAATTCTCAAGTAAATCTCTGAATTAAGTGTATTTACATACCTCCTGTCAGATAACGGTACTTTTGGTGAGAAACCTCCTGGGCACTGCCTTATACAACTTCACAGCCCAACTGCGAATTACACCGTGCCAACCCCAAAGGCAAAGTAGTAAGTTATATGCAACGGAGCTAGGTAAAAAAAAGGACTAGTGATAGATAATACTGGGTAGTAAGAAAGCAGTCAGTTTCTGAAATACTGGGATGACTATTAGTGTCTTAGCTAAAATACGTAAAACCCCCCAGTCTTTATAAGGGGAAGCGACAATGACAGTAACTCCAAGTTCTCTGTGTTTGATGCCTGAAGTAAACATTCCTCCTTGGTAAAATGGTAACAGTAACCGTGTAACCTGAGATAAACTGTGTTTTATCTTCACCTACTGGACAGTTACTTCAATTGGAGCCTAAAGCTTCATTGTAGGGAATTGGGCAAATTACTGCAATTCAGTGGTGTCAAACTGTACCTACAGCACGGAGAATTTTTTTTTCCCCTCCTTTGCAAAGCAAACTTAAATACATCTGTGTTTCACAATTACAGCTCAGGATGAAACCACAGTCTAAAATCAGTCGCAGTAATATAAATAGCATTTAATTTAGCACCCCTGGCAAGCACAAACTGTAACTATTTGTCTGGAATCGCATCTTCATAGCGCTGCCAAAAATAAAGCAGAACTGAGCGTTTGGGTTTTCTCTTCAAGGCAACGCAGGTCAAATGCAACTGTATCCTTAGGTGCCCCACTCTGAGTTCTGGTAACTTTGAAAATGATAAGCACTAGAAGGTCAACACTATATTGTACATTTGCTGTGTACACATGCTATCTCAGGTGCTTGCATCAACAACAACTAACGGCAGAACACATGGGTTCAAATATAACCTATCTATTAACTGAGGACCACACAGCTGCATGTGGAGAAGGTACCTATAGGTTTACATGTCAAATGCAGGGAGGAGGGTTTTGGGTTTTTTTTGGTTGTTGTTTTTTATTTTTTTTTCACATTTATTTTCAAACTAAAATCTTAAAACGGCTTAATTCTCATCAACTTTTTCCAGAATTTAGTAACTGCCTAATTCAGGGCTCACTTGGTTTCTCAGCATCTGAAGAAAGTATTTTTTCATGAAAATACAGAACATAAGGAACTTGATAAAGCAGAAGATACTCTTCCTGTTTTCTATCAACAGTAACTGCTCAGCACAGACAGATGTTAGGACAGTTTTCTTGCCTTAGTATTCATGGTGGAACCTGCTGACTCCTGTACAATCTTCACAGAGAGCCCAAAGGAGAAGAAAACAAGTGAGAGAAAAACTGGCGGGGAAAATCCCTGTTAACCACAAAAACTACACCACTGGACTAGCATGTTGATGGCTATTAACAGTGGAGGCAGGATCACTGCTTCTGTAAAGTCAAATACTAGCTGTTTATTGGATGTTATTAAAAATGTAAACAAAAAGCATAGTTCAACCTCTTATGAAAATGCTGGATTCAAAAAGTACTGCTCCATTCTTTTTTAATCTGTTTGAGGCTGTTGCACTAGACCTGTTTTGTTAGTCACCTCTCTTGAGGAACCTATTTAGTATTCCATCATTATTGTACACAAGTATTATTTTAACTGAAGACAATAATGTTGAATACAATCTATTATCACCAAAACTGTGCCTTCCATTTCTATTTTTGTTTCAGCTTGCACAAATGGACCTTAAAAACCTCCTTAGGAAATGGAATAAATCTGCAAGAAGCTACGAAAATACATACGGAAGGACTCCATGCTAACTCTAGTATATTTTTCCTTAAATATCTGCTGGCAATCATCAAAGACAAGGAAGTAGCTAAATAAACATTTTGAATAATAAGGTACCGTAAAAGAAAATTGTACAAGTATTTTTTAACTTTTCACTGAAGAGTGTTCTCTCAGCCTTAAAATGTGTAATATACTGTGGCCCACACAAATTTTAATTTCAATGCACAGCTCTGAAAATTCCATCTTCTACTGTACTGAAATTGCTTAGCACATTCTTCTTCAGATACTGCTTAAAAGGAAATTGGGTACTGAATCAATAAACCAAACGAGTTAGGTAGGCAGAAAAATTAAGATAATCTCTAATGCTAGGAAGAACCTGTGTGGACACCACAAACTGTTCCTCATCCTATGTGTATATATAATACTATAAACTCAATATGCTAAGTTTTAACAGTTATTTTTCTTAATGAAAAATCTAAGTCTACATATTGAGTGTTGAAATTGTTTCCGTTCTTAATCCTTACCAAACCATGGCAAAAGCCAATCACCAATCGTTTCAAATATGAAGAAATTGATGCTTTGGTGTCAAAGCACTGCTAATACTGTTTTCTACGCCAGAGGGGATGTGAGATGTTTGATTCTCTATAGCAGAGTTTACTGCAATACGCTATTTTGAAGAAGCAGAAAAGACGCCCAAGCCTTTCCAAAAAACTGAGGTTGCACCATCTCCATCAGGCTCTTTTACCTCTACAAAAGAGGAAAAAACCAAAACTGTTACAGACAAAAGATCATGTACCGATTTTTCAGGGGGAACACTTGCTAGTTATATAAGAATAAATGCAGTACAGTTAAACTTCTGTAACATAGGACCAGAAAAATTTCCTGCTTCTGAGCATAACTTATGTAATGGCTGCATTTATATGTGTTAAAGCAGACGCGGGGCTAGAAACTATTTATCAGTAGATGTACAAGGTATTTAAAATCCTGTTTTCAGAAAGTTTTTTCACTGTTCTATAGTAACAGACATACAGAAATCACTGTAACCAGAAAAAGGCAACTTGCATACCACTGTATTTCCACCTGTGCCTCAGATCAGGGTATGCTATTTACAATTGTTCTTGAAGCTCACAACTGAACTGAGACACAAAATATTAAAATAAAAAAAAGTATCTTTTATTTTCAGCTTTAAAGATGCATCGCTAAACAATCAGTAGAAAAAAACAAGTAAAAAAAGTAAACAACGTCATCTGGTAAAATCACACCCAACTAGTACAAGGCAATACAAAGTTTCTATATACCACTCAAATGCAGTTTAAAAAAAACAAATAGTCTGGTCTCCAAGACCGCCTCTACCTGAAATAAATCCTTAAGTACCTGCAGCTCTTAATGGTAAAACAAGGATACATTCTTTCTTTTTTCTTCCATTTATGGAGTCGATCACCAGCTACTTCAATCATTTGCAAGGGAAATTCACAGTCTCAGTTACAGATTTCAAGAGAACATATACAATTCCATGATTGAAGTCTTTCTGTCTTCAGCGTAGGCTCTTTACGAAGTCAGCACTTCTTACATATCTTTAGACTGATCATCTTCTTCAAGTTTTCTGATTTCATTCTTTAAACAGTTGATGGTTTCACGGCTTGCTTTTAGCCTTTCCTTAAGTTCAGCAATTTCGAAACTAGTTTTCTTTTTGGCAGCTTCCAGCTTTTCCCTGGTTTTCACTTCAAGATCTGCAACTTTGGTGGTGATAAAGGAAAAGAAATATTTTAAGTATCATGAAAAGTTGGGTTTTTTCATTTAATGCAGCAGTGATTTGGATGGCATGTGTCCTGAAAAAAACTATTACCGTTATTGTTAAAAGATTCTATGATTGTAGTCAAAATGGTATAAAAAAACCCTCAATTTTGTCACCTCGTTCAGCCCATCAGTTCTGTGTACGGAGTTATGTAATTCACTAAACCATTTTCCAGAGTTTTTTAAAGATAAGTGGGGAAAAATACCTGATATAGTGACAGCAAATAAAGAGATTACAGAGAATTACAAATAATTCATATGTGGTAGCCAGTGACAGGACCAGAGGCAGTGGGCACAAACTGAAACACAGGAGGTTCCCTCTGAAAATCAGGAAACTTTTTTTTCCTGTGAGGATGAGTGAGCACTGGCACAGATTGCCCAGAGAGGTTGTGGAGTCTCCATCCTTGGAGCTATTCAAAAGCCACCTGGACACAGTCAGGGGCAACCTGCTTGGGCAGGGGGATGGACAAGATGACCTCCAGAGCTCCCTTCCAACCTCAACCATTCTGTAGTTCCTTTTCTACATACTGTAACCACTTTCTAGATTTTGCCCCATCAGAGTTTAATTCTAAGTATTTAAAAGATTTAGAGGTGCTTCCTTTGCTTTTACAAGTATCTGACATCAGGATATCTCAACTATCTTGATCTGGTTTACCAAGATGACCTATTTTATTTTTTTTTTAATAACTTTTTTCAAGCACACGTTTTTGGACAAAGCTGGTAAAACCAACAAATCTATGGAGGCCATGGATATCCCTTCATATCCCATACACTATGTAATTGTGAGCAGTGGCAAAAAAAAATAATAACAACTTTATCTACATCAGTAGCACATTTTAAAGGAAATATATATAAAAAACCCACTAAAAGTTTCTATCTACTGTCACAAGAAACATCCAGAAATTTTATACGAGAAATGTAACATAAACACATAAACCATAACAACATGCAACATAACAAAAAAAACACATCAAGACTTGCTAAACTAAGGTAGAAAATTAAAACAGGCATAAGGCAAATCAGAATCTTAACCCTGCAGAGCTTCAAACTAGTAACCACTCTTAGCTGTAGGCATTCACTGTCTAAAACCATCTGATAACCACGTTCGTTGCCAGGGGAACACGTAGATAAGCCACAGGCCAGGTGAGCTGAACCTCCATGGTACCAGAGTTGGTACCTAACAAGGTATGATTTGGGCTCAATAAATATTAATTTGCTTTCTGAGAATAGAAGAGACAAAATCCTCAAGATCAGAACAGAAATCATCACTAAATGCATTGTATTTTATGAATCAATGTGTTGGTAGTTTCATTTCCATAATTCCTTTAATATCCTGGTTTATATTTAGAGACAGATACATAAAAAGGAGGCAAAGAACATTATGCTATACTGAAAAAGTAAGTTATGAATTGACCTACAGTTAAAGAATTAGATAAAAGGTACAAAGACAGGAAGAGCTTTCAGACTCTGACTCTGCTCTTTATTCCCAAAGGGTTGCTGCTTTGATGTAACCCATACCCGCTGTTCTGTATTTGGGGGCTTAAAGCGTGATCTTGGCTCGCAGTTAACATCCCAATGAGCTTATTACAAATACAGAGGCTTTAATTTATTCTCTGTTTTAACTAATTTCAAAGATGTTAAACTTGGTGTAGATCATGCCATCACTATTTAAACTGAGTTATCCATATATCCTTTTTTTTCCAGCAGGCATGCAGATCAGAAAATCTTAAGTTTTCAAATAAGTATTAATATATTTGCAAAAACTGAAGGTAATTTAATGCAAAAATATAATTTTTGAGCAGCATCCAAATCCATTGTTCTGTCACAGCCAGTAAAAACATAAAAAGCAAACCAAATTACTGTACATTTCTAAAATTAAAATATTTTCAACTTACACTCTGTTTCATGCTTGTAAGCACCTAGTGTCAGCTGACGAGACGTTGTTAACAGCTGCTGCATCATTGCAGTAGGATCTTGAAATATCTAATGAAGGAGAAAAAAACACGGTGTCACTGATACTCTTCAAAATTAAGTGAGGATTACGTCAAACATTTTCATACCATTTCATCATAGAATTCAGAAACTACAGTTTTCTTTCCAAGGATGGCATTGGTATCAGACTGGAAAAGCTTCAGCAAGTGATACAAGGTTACCTGTACAAAGACAGAACTGTATTAGCTTGATAATTGTAAGGAAATACAAATCTTCTACTTATCAGCGAGCAGTATTCATTCTTACTAAACAATTATATAGGATTTAAAAATCTTTTAGGAATGCAAAAATAAGCATCAGATAAATTCAGTAGAATTAGTTAGATTTAATATTCAGAGTTAAGCGCACCAACTATCCAAAGGCTTCTTGCTACTTTAAAAACCTCTGGACAAGTGGTTTAGGATTGCCATGTAAAAACTACTAAGACCTCCTTGTAAACATGTCCACAGAGGTGATTTAATTGGCAAAGTCAATTGATTCAAAAGTGCTTTCTGTGACCTTATAATCTCTTCTTGTGAAAGAAAAGCCTAAGCAGGGCAGGCGGGGGCTGCAAATAGCTTTTCATTGCAATTTCTCTCTGTGGAGTTACTCTTCTGTTACCGCCGTGGCAATGGCAGGAGCTGGAGAGGAAGGGAAGCCCTCTGCCCGGCCCTGACCACTTAGACCATGACCTGGGAAGAGGACACACAGCCCACACCACAGCTCTTCCCTTCCACGAATGGACCCATCAATGGGCATGGAAAAGAGCAACACTTTACTCCAGTTGGCGCTTCCTGGCAAGGAAGAACGTGACAGGCACCAAAACGGCCTTCGAAGAACAACCACAAATAAAAAAACACCCACCCAGCTTTATGACAGCTTGGTCAAGCTGTGAACGGAATTAATAGAAAGAGTCAGGATTCTACTGAGAACAGCAGCACAGGAAACCCTTTCTTGTTCAGTATCAATTTTCACTTATTCGAAAAAGATGTAAAATTTAGTTGTCACCTCATTCAGCAAAAAAAATGGCTAAAGCAAAATGACTGCTGTAGTTCATGTGACGGAAGAAATGCAGTGCTTCCAGAAATAAACATCCCTTTCCCCCAAAACACAGTCATCGAGTTTCCTACCTAAACTTGAATAAAGAAACCTGCAAGATATGTCTAAAACATAGGGTGGGAAGAAAGAAATTAGTTTAAACGCTTTATACAACTAAAGAAGTGTCTCAGCCTGGTTTTCTTAAGAAAGAGACTAATGCTAGCATAGTATCTCTGCTGCTTCGTCACTGATTCTGACCAAGTCTCATAGATAAAAAAAAAAATCTAAAAATATTCTACCATCCTATAGCTAGGAAGTCACACAGAAGAGAAATCCTCACTACGTGCTCAGCCCAGGTAAGGTGCAACACGTGGTCATGTTTTAGTAAAGGTCAGAGAACCCAAGTGCAGGAAAAGCCGTCACAAATTCCAGTAATAAGGCACCAAACCAGAAAAATGTGGCCAACCGTTAAAGAAATTTCCTACTACAAGAACAGATTTTATTAGTTCCATGGCTGATGGGACTTATTTTGACCAGCGATCCCCTACAGCACAGCTTTAGGCTACTGTAATTAATTAAGTCTTGTTAAAAGGTCAAGGTACTTACAGGTCTTTCATTTGGATCAATGAAAAATATCTTAATGATTATTTCAAATTCACCCCAGCCTGTTTCGGTGATTTCATATGGTGGTTTGGTAACAACTGCAGTGAGAAAGTGGGAGCCGTCAATAAGGGTGATAAAGCCTCTGTGGAAGTAAACACAATCCCCGTTCTAGGAACAAATGCCCCAATACAAATGCAAAATGCCCACCTCTTAAAGGATTGCCGTAGCTTTCGTGCAGCTTGAATTGGATTTTTTTCACGTAGGCAGACATATCCTAGAACAGAAACGTCGTTATTTCTGATTTTTTCCACCGCACACCGAGAAACCGGCCCCTCGCCCATCCCCCCCCCCCGCCACGACGGAGCCGCCTTTAGACACAGCGGGAAAACCACGGCGGCAACTCCGAGAATCATCACGGGTCTGCCCGTGGTTTGTCCCCCGGAGACCTCGCTCCAAACCCCACGCGTGGCTCCAGCGGCTCGGT